TTGGCACTTTACTTATTTTCACTATTTTCAAATGTAAATAACTTTCTTGGAGAAAACTGAAAAATTACAAAACTTGGGCAAATATCTAATTGATCACTAAATACACACACTGGAAAAAAATTCGCTTTGGTCCCGAAGATACTTTTTGAGATAATTAAGTTCTTTAAACTTTTCACAATTTTTATCAGGTTAATACATGTAGTTTTTTAAGGACGAAGTTAGGTTTTATTGGTTAAACATTTTGAACTAACTTCAATTTTATAAAAATCACATGCATTAACCTGATAAAAATTGTGAAAAATTTAAACATAATTATCTCAAAAAGTATCTTCGGGACCAAAGCGAATTTTTTTCCAGTGTGTGTAGTTAGTAATCAATTAGATATTGCCCAAGTTTTGTAATTTTTCAGTTTTCTCCAAGAAAGTTATTTACATTTGAAAATAGTGAAAATAAGTAAAGTGCCAATTTTTATTGCTTTTTATTTCACATTTATGAAGAAAAAAGGAAAAAAGGGCTAAGAAAAACTAAAAGTTAGTCACAGGTACTTTATATTTGGTAAGGTTTTTTTCAATTTAATGACTTCTCTTTCTCACATTTAATAGTTGAAATTTGCAAATTTAGGTTATTTGACAAGCGAACTTGAAAATCATATTTTATATATTATTTCACATATTTAAATAATTATATCAATTGATAATGATAAATTTATTCTTTCTTAGTAAATTACAACAATTTTTTTTTATTTTTATGATAAATTCTTTTTTTTTTTGTATATTTTCTAATGGCTAAAAAATTGACCGTTTTCAGCACCTCATAAACTTTAAATTCATATTTTGCAATAAATAATTAAAATTTTAATAAAATTCTTTTCATTTCGTGATCTTGATAACTTCAAAATCATTCCTGCAAAGTATTATAATTTTTAAAAATTAGTCAGCGACGACTTCATTCGAAATATAATGGATTGACCCAGAAGTAAAAAAAAATTTTTATAATTAAATTTGTAGTTTGGTAATTATTTTAATTTTCATAAATATGAAAAGTCTAATGTAATTTATTTTAATCGCTGTGATTGGAAAAATAATTTTGTATTGCAATTAATTGCAAAGTTGACTAGAGAGAGAGTTATATTATAAACGACATATATTACTATCGATTCATGTATAATTTAAATCGAAATACACCCATGGGATGCATCGAATGATTCTGACGTTCCATTAGTCTTGTATAATAACGAAATAAAATATCCTTTTGGGAATTAACATGCGCGTGGCAATATGTTTTTTTTTTATTTAACGAAAAGAAACTGAAAAAATTTTTCAGTCTTATTGACACATATCTTAAAATTTTATACTTTTATTATTTGTGACAGTATTTTATTTTATTTAATGATAAAACTGTCATTTACGGAAGTGAAAAGCAATGTTAAAATGAAAGCACAGCACTATACGAGTAGTTAAGTAACTACAAAAATAATCGTACATTTGACTTCAGCAGTTTTGAGTGGCAAATGAAGCGGTAAATTTAAATTTAGTCTTATAGGTAAAACACTGCAATTGAAAAGAAAACAGAAATTTACAAAGTAATTTCAAAAAATAAAACTTTTTCAATGAAATAATACTTAAATTATGGTTCAGAAAAATAGTTTTATTATTGAAATTCTAATTAATGAAAATTTAATTAATATAATTATGATATTTTCGAGCTGTAAATAAATTATTTACATATTTTTAAGTATCACGTAACTTAATGATTATTAAGGAGAAATAACATTAAAAATCAAAGCCAAAAAATTTATTAAACACTATATTTTCCTTAATATTTATTTACGAATATATTTTTGAAATTTATTTACGCAATATTTTGACTGAACAATTAAATTAAATTCGTAAAGGTTAACGTAAGAATGAGTAAGAGAAGGATAGCAAATATCTTTATTCTTCTCTCACTCATTCTTACGTTTCAGTTTACGATTGCGTTTCCGTTCAAGAATCTATTCTGCTTTGGCCTTTAACTGTCAACAGTCATGTTAGGTTGAAATCGAATTTATTTCAGGGTTGGGTGGCGTCCCAGTGGGCAAAGCGACGTCTTAAAAACGTCTAAAAAAGACGTCTCACCTTGTCCGCGAACATCCGGGGACAATGATAGTAAAGTCTCGGAAACATCATAAAGATAACTAAAAGACGTCCATAAAAAGATCTATGTCTGGCCCAAAAGATGTATTTTGTGCAAGAATTTGAAATAAAATCGTCTACCTAAGAAAAATTGAATTTTTTGGGGAATTTTTTAAGAGCATTTGAACCTTCGTGACGTCACAAATCATGGCGCATGACACGCAAACTTCTCAGGTATGTGAAAAGCACAATTTTGAATATTTTTTAAAAAAACCTTTTGGAAAATGTTCAGAATAACATAGACTCTGTCTGTTATGTGCGAAAAATTCAAAATTTTGCGTTTAAAACGTTTTTTAAACAATGCCTACATATAAGCAATTCGTGTATTTTTCCTTACTTGTGACAACCAACTTAAACATTGTTTAAAAAACGTTTTATACGCAAAATTTTGAATTTTTCGCACATAACAGACATAGTCTATGTTTCTCTGAACATTTTCCAAAAGGTTTTTTTAAAAAATATTCAAAATTGTGTTTTTCACATACCTGAGAAGTTTGCGTGTCATGCGCCATGATTTGTGACCTTAACATTGTTTAAAAAACGTTTTAAACGCAAAATTTTGAATTTTCCGCACATAACAGACAGAGTCTATGTTATTCTGAACATTTTCCAAAAGGTTTTTTTAAAAAATATTCAAAATTGCGCTTTTCACATACCTGAGAAGTTTGCGTGTCATGCGCCATGATTTGTGACGTCACGAAGGTTCAAATGCTCTTAAGACATGAGATGCCTTAAAGTTGGTAATAGGCTTCTTCCTCTACTCCTATCCGGGTGTCAATTTTTTCTACACTTTATGGGGTATTTTTTTGCTAGAATTTGCAATAAAATCGTTTGTCAATTACTGCTGGAGCCATAAAGCGATAATTAAAATTTAGAAAATAGTAGCCATAATTTAAATGTTATTCAAAATAATTAAAAATAGATTTAAATTATTTAAAAATACATCTATCCAATTTTGGGAGCAGAACTAAAAAATAAATAATAAAAATATCCGTTATTATACAAAGTTTCGTGCATCATGTTCTTTACAAGGTTCCAATACAACTTAATTGTACGTGAGCAGATTATCAGAGAGTAAAATTGATCATTACTTGTATTTATTTATATATAAGAAGTGAATGCGTGTTAAGTGTTGGCGTTTGTCGAGCCAAGTGAAATGCAGAATTTAATTAAGAACTCGTTGGCTCGATTCTTTAATTTGATTATTTGCCACGCGATGAAAAGAGGAGTCTCTCTCACACACACAAACTTTTATCGTATAAGTAGAAATAAAGACTTCGGTATAATGGACCTGATTGGGATTCGTGGACTCTTTCATACTGTTTTATTTCCTCTTCGTTTCATTATTATCTTTTAACTATATCGTTTCCAAACGATTTCACTTCGATTCTTAATTGCTTTTAAAGTATATAGCGCGAGGAGGGTTATTCATTAAAGTTGCGTGCCAACGCATCATCTTCCCCCTTTTTGAAACTTGAAATCATATCATGAAATTTTCAATTATGAATTTCAAATTTCTACCAATTCGTGAATATTTAACGTTTTCTTAATCGTCAATTAAGAAAAAAAGAGAATTACAAGGTGGCCCCAATTTAATTTTTTTTTTTTTTTTTTTGGTGGACTTAAAATTAAATCGAACCTTGAACCTGCAAAAAAAAGTTATTACAATGTATGAAATAAAATTTTTAAATAAAACTGCAGTTTTAATTTTTTGACTCTGTATAGCTAGAGAAACCTATTATTTTGGAAGATACGACTCGTAAAAAAACTGGAAGAATGCGAAACGAAATAAAATGCGCCATAAAATAAGAAGAACTATTCAAGAATGTTGAGCACGTAATCGCAAACTCATTGAAACAAATGGGTATTTCATTGGGTAAGCCACATCTCACTATTTTGTATTATTTCAGCGCACAATTTGAGACTGCGGTTAAGGTTCCTTCTTACAACATATATAGATTTACTTTTGTCTCCAGATTTACAGCCATCTTAACATTGCAGGCACTCCTCTACATTGTCACAGTTTTTGAAAAATTATTACAGATTCTTTACTCTCTTATGTCTAACATCTTTCGACACTAGCACCACTAACTCCCATATTTTCCACCAGGCGTCAAAATTAACATAAATTTTGCATAAGCAGAATTAATATTTATCATAAAAAATTAACGTTATGAATAAATTTTTCTACACTTGATTTATGAGAGCATGAGTATAAAAAAATTAATGTTTTTTAAATTGACTTTTTTATAATTTTTCATCAACAGTGAAAGTTTAAGTAAAATGTGCAATTACGCGAAAGCAACTCTAAGACACTAACATTGGAAAATGGACGTTCGCCAATTGGTTAAAGAGCAGACAGTCATTCGAATTTTAGTATCGTTGTTTATGACCACAAGGCAAACTCACTTCTTCTCAATTTCTCTTTAAATGATCTAATTGATGGCGTCTTTTGCGAAGGATCTTCACGAAAACCTTTCAGACTAGTGTAATAATTCTCGAATGTGCTTGAATTATTAAATTTAGTTCAAGAATTGCTTTCTTGATATTGAATTATATTCATCGGTTCACCTAAAGGATTTTACAATTATTCCCTTCACAATTAATATATTTATATTTCAATAGGATTTTCCAATAACAAATATTGTTTTACTATTAAATTTTCTTATTTTCAAAATAAAAAAAAAAAATAGATACAATTTTATTGAATTTTATTTAAATGTCTTAAGTCAAAATTTTGTATAAAAATTTACAAAAAAATCGTAAATAGAAGACATCTTTGGATAATATACAATAGTTTAAAATTCATATTTAAAACTACTTACAGTCAAGTACTATAAATTGGTCAACCTACTATTAAATAATTATGACTTTGGGTATAACTGTTATTAACCTATAAAGCCACAATATTTTACACTCCATATTCATTTATACAATTACAATTCAAAAATATTACCTAAATTCAGCTTAAATAGCTGAAACCAAATTACACATATTTACATAAATTAAATATATACAAATATTAATTAAATAATTATTTAAATAACATAAAAAACATATCTATTAAGTTAAAATAAAAATCGTTGTTTCAACATAGAATTGAACGTCCTTTAATTTCTATTTAATAAAATAATAACACTTATTTGCCAACTATTGAATATTGCAAATTTAAATTTTTTGCAACAGGATAATTACGGAGGCAATATGCTGTATCTTGACTGCAAAAATATATTTAAATTAATTTTCTAAAGCATTTCTAATGTAGATTGATAAAATTATTATTTTAATAAAGACATAAAAAATTACTTAAATTAAATACAGTAATACTTACTTTAAAAAATAAGAGATGGAACGTTGACTACATGATGAAAATGTAAATTGATTTTTACCCAATGAAATGGGACTCATAATATAACCATATACTGCGGGACATTCAATAGCTCCTAAGAAACCTGGACCTAGTTGATTGGAATCACCATCGTGAGTAGCACCAAGTCTATGTGAAAAAAAAATATTTTTTTTTTGAAATTAAAATATTCCCAGCTAGTATTGTTGCAATTTCGAGTAGTAAAGCAAGGAGGGCTGCGACCCAGTTACCGACCGAGGTCGGTAATGTAGGAATCTATTTATCGACATTCCCCACTGACTTGGAAAAGTGTTCTTCTTTACCGGCCGAGATAGTTCCGGTTGTCACCGCTAGATGGCGCCACTTTATTTTCGCGTCGAATTTAAAAAGGTTTACAATATGGAACAATTTAAATTTCCCGCTCAAATTACCGATCGAGCTAGTATCGCCTGCCATCGCAAGATGACGAAACTTTAATTTATTATACAATTTAAAATACCTTGTGTATGAGTTTTTTTTTAATTTTCGCGGGAAAAAGTGGCGTTATCTAGCGGTGGCAGTCAGAACTAACTCGGTCGGTAATTTGAGACGGGAAATTTAAAACCCCCACTCCAAACGACTTTAAATTGTTTGAAAAAAAATTTCCATATTGCAAGCCTTTTTAAACTCGGCGCGAAAATAAAGTGTCGCCATCTAGCGGTGGCAGCGGGAACTAACTCGGCCGGTAAAGAAGACTAATTACCTAAGCCAAAGAAAAATGTCAATAAATAGATTTCTACATTACCGACCTCGGTTGGTAAATGGGGTCGCAGCCCCCTTGCTCTACTACTATTTCGACATTACTTTAAATTATTCGATTTTATTTTTCCTCCCCTTTTTAGCCTATTCTAACTTTTTTAAAAAATAAACTGACGTTTTACGTTTTAACAATGTTTTTGGAACATGAGATAATTGCAGAACGTTATTTAATTGGAGGAAAGACTAGTATAATTTTTGTTTTTCGATAGTTGTCCTTAATGTAATCTAGTATTGGTAGAGTTTGTCGTGGTGGCGAGGCTTTTCACTAAAGAACTTCCAAAAAACAAGATGTAACATAAGGAGATTTAAAATATAGAAAAAAAAACGGAGAAACCATTTCGAATCTTTTCGGTTTTAGCAGCGGAAGAAGTTTAATTCCGTTTGACCTAGACAACGAGGATATCGAGGAGGAACTCAAGAAACGCGTAAAAAGGAGGATGAATGTCATCAGAGGATCGAAGAAGAGATCGCAAAAATGGTAAAGTCTTACAAAGTCTAGAAAAAAGTAAACAGGACTGTTAAGAACAGACTAAAGACTAGAGGATTTTGTCAGTGAAGCAAAGGTAAAACATGTCCTAGCTAAAAACGGAGACAGTAGGAATTGCGTAAATCGCTTAAGACTAGTTACTTTAGAGTAAAGTTAGCAGTGGTCCATTGTACCTGGCCTATCGGCATACCAACGATATAGATTTTATGGACTGTAGTCTTCGTTCAACTTATCTCTTTACCAGTAGTTCGCAAATTGATTCATGACTCTTACTGTGTTCAAACATTCGTTCAACAATCATCGTACTACAGCACTGACTCTCATTTTAATTTAAAGCGGTCTTTTTCTAGGTTTAGATAGAACACTAAGGACCATCGAATTTAGGCAGGATTCTTCCATTCCCTAGGAACTATACAGGTTCTTGCCCGAATTGTTATACTCACACGTCGACAGTTTCAAAGAAGTCTTTTATCACTTTTTGGATCAGTTTCTTCTCTTGCTCTAAGCGATGTGATAACAGATACAGCATTGGTGGTACTGTTCAGAAGCCAAAATGCAGGACCGGAATAAGAAAAGAGAGTGTAATGGAGACACCTCAAGAAGCAGATTGCGATGTTAACAAAATCACCGATTTTCGAGAAAGTCAAAAGAAAGAAGACTAGTGGATCTAAAATGAAGATGCAATTGAAAAGACGTATATCGAAGTACTGAGCAAACTTCATAGGAAAGTGAATCCGGACGTCAGTCACACGCGGATCATGGGTGCAAAGCCTACGAGAATGGGAGACCTCCTGATCAAAATCGAAGAAGACTCCAATAAAGAGACATTCACCGCGGCGGTTATCAAAGCGGTTGGAAGCATCAGGAAGGTGCAGACGATGGATCGATGGGTCACACTCTAGATCCGTGACCCGCATTGCCTTACCCAGGAAGTAGAAGTGCAACAAAAGTTACAAAAAATGCTCGAAAAGTCAGGAAGCAGGAAGGTAAGGGTCCTAGGACCCAAAAAACGAGGAATGAAGTTCGCAGTTATAGTTACCGATCAAGAGGAGGCGGACAGGCTGAAAAATTTGCGACGCATAAAAATAGGTTTTATGTCATGCCGAATAAAGAATTGGTCACTAGGTGTCAACAAATCAGTTGCATATTTTAAGTGCGATGAAGCTGATCACAAGTTTGCAGACTGCAAGAGAAGCCCAAGTTTAAAAAATTAATTAGATGCCAACGTCTTTAGTTGTACTTCTTTTAGAAGAAGTTTTAGCTTAGATTGTTTTTAACTTATATTTTCGACTTACGTGAAGAAAATTGTAATGAAAATTTCGAATAATAAAATTGTTACTTACGTGTGAGCTAATTCATGTGTTGCAGAAATTACACCACTATATGCACCATTGTCTTTTATAATTGCTGCGCTGTAAATCATATTTGATTCTTGTTTGCAAGCACCACCAATATATGCTACACCTAGATATTTAAATAAAATTTTATTTTTTAAATCTTATTCTATTATTAATTTTTTTTTAAATATATATTTAACGTACTTCTTATTGGCTCACATATTCGTTTACATTTCAAAAAATTATACGTACCACCAACATCACTGCTATAACCATTGTACATTATATTATTTCCCAACATAAGAACAGCTATATCGTAATCCACTTGAAATTTGAATTTATTTTGAGTTAATAAAAATTTACCAAATTTATCTAATACACTGTTGTAAACATATCCATAACTAGAGAACGGCAAATTTTCCTATTAATAGAACAAAATAAATTCTTACTATTGATTTTCATTTAAAAAATTATTACACAGAAAAACGAGGTTTTCTATTGTGTAAAAAATTATTTTAATAATATTTTTTAAAAAAAACTTTTTCATTCATTAGAAAAATAAATTGATATTTTAAATAAGCTTCACAATACCTGAAATATAACAATTCCAGCAATGTTCAATAATATATTAGGTGTGTTTAATTGTCCAAATCTCACATCCACTTGTTTCCAAAATGATGAAACGTATTTTACTGTTCTTTGAATATTATTTCCAAATTGGCTATTAAAAATGAATTAATACAATTCGTTAAATATTAAAATAAATTAAATATAAAATAAATAAATAATAAATATAAACTAAAATTTTTGATTTATTAATATTTACCTAAATAGAGAATTATCGACCAAAATGAGGATTTCCGGATAAACAGTATTTACATTTGATCCCTAATAATTACAATTTTTTAAATATATATATATATATTTTATAAGAATAAATAATATAATTTCAATTTAATTTTCAATTGTAAATAATGTAATACTAATAAATTAATTATTAATGAAACGTTTTTTGCGATTTTTATATATGGAGAAACAAAAATTAATTTTTTTTTATTTAAATTTTAATTTTCTTACACTGTTCATGTATTTTGTACCACTGTTGTAAACGGAAGGAATACTTTGCATAACCTAAAATTGTAAATTTGTTTATTGTCATTAATATGTTATATAAATATAAAAATCAACTTTTATTCTAAGCCAAAAAATATTTTCTTTTAAATTAAAAAAAAATTTCTTTGAATCATTTATATTTAAAAAAAAACTATTGGCATTTTGTACAATTTGAAGGTCAACATTTTTTTTTATTTTTTTTTTTTACTTGCCTCTGAATGTAATAAATACGATAAACTGTTGTAATATATAGGATTCGGTATTGCTGTATACACTGGCGTATTTTGATTTATGAGAAATCCTGCATTTGAAATTTGATTATTTTGCTGATTAACTTGATTAGTTGCATATCCAGTCGCTAGAAGTAAATTTTTTTTGAAAAATAAATAATAAAGGAATTCTTTTTTAATTTAATTATTTATTTGTAATAATAAAAAAAATTTTTTTGAATTTTATTCAATATTATTGATAAATAATGATAATATTAATAATAATAATAATAATAATAAATAATAATAATAAATTTAAAAATTTTAATTAATAATTGAATAAATAATAAATATAATTCTTTTATTTCACATTATACCTATTTTTTTTAAATATTTTAAATTATTAAAAAATAATAATAATTTCAAAAATTTAACTATTAATTAAATTAATAATAAAAAATTAATACAATTGTTATTTTTCACATTATATTTAATATTTTGTTAATAATTTAAATTATTAAAAAAAAGAATATAAAAATTTTAATTATTAATTAAAATAATAATAAAAAAATTAATACAATTCTTTTTTCCAAATATACTTATAATATTTTATTAATATTTTAAATTATTTTTTAAAAATTTTACCTTCATTTGGAGTTACTTGTATGTATTGATAATTGGAATCCTTGGTTTGTGAACTTGGATAAACCACCTGAAAGTTCATGAAAAAAAAAAAATGCAAAATATAAAATGCATAATAATAAAAATTATATTATAGAAAAATTTTAAGAATATAAAAATTAAAAAAACCGAATTAAAAAAAGAAAATTAAAATTTACCTGGTAATAATTTGCCATTGAAGTGTGAATGAAGAAGAAGAAAATGTAGAAATACATATTTGGCTTTAAATAATATCACTGTGAGTATTTCAAAATTATCACTGTTGACCAAAAAATACATAAATTTAATAATATCTCAAAAAATTCTAATAATTTTAGTTTCTTTATTTTTTTTCAATATAAAAACAAATAAAAATTTTTAAATAGTATTTTTTTCTTCAAATTAAAAACATTCAGATAAAAAAAAATTAATCTTTATTTTGATAAAAAAAAAATTAAATAACTTTCTAGACAATAATTAAAAAAAAAAGAAATAATCGAAAATTTCTAAAAACTTATAGAATATAATTTAATTTTTAATTAACACTTTTTTTGTTCATTAAATTGAAATGTTTATTTATTAAATTTTATTTTGTTTAATAAATAAAATTTTTTATTAAATTTTGTTTTTTTGTATTAAATAAAAGTTTTATTTATTAAATTTAAATTTTGATTATTAAATATAAATTTTAATTATTAAATTTAATTTTTGTTTATTAAATTTAATTTAACTTTAATTAGTTGAAAAATTAATTTTTTTTTATAACTAAATTTATCTTTCGCTTAAAATAAATATTTATTTTCACTCAGATATAAACTGTCAAAAAAAAAAAATTTAATTAACTGTACATTTCTTTTTTTCATTTTATTTATTAACACTTTGAATTTAAAAGTAAAAAAAAGTAATTTAAACACTAAAAAATAAATTAAAAATTACGATAATAAATTAATAATATCTTACCAATTTTTCTAGAAGAATGAGTTTTATAAATAAAAATATAGACACAGTTTAATGAATAATTTACAAGTTATTATGAGTTACTAATAGAAACTAATATTCAGAGGTGTGCACAGCACATTATATAAATTTCAAATGTCATAAATTTGAAATTTTTTTTTTACTTTTTTTTTTAAATCAAATTAAGAGAGAGGAGAGAGTAGGGGGGCTCAAGCTTGTGTCCCATGTATTTAAGCAAATATTTTGTGTAATGAATTTTCGTTTGTTAATAGATTCATTGTATTAAGTTATTATAAAAGAAAATATTGTACATATAATTCTACTTTATCATTATTTTTACATTAAGATAATGCATTTTATTATATATATTTTTTTTAATAATACAACTTTAAGTTGGTATTTTGCAACATATTTTTTAAACTATATTGATAAGTTTTTTAAAATGTATTTAAAATATAATGTAAAACAAATGTACTGCAAAAATTTGTTTAAGATTTTATTGTGACAAATAAAAATAGTAATAATTTTGAAAATTTTGATTTTCAATATCTCAATCTACAAATTTTAGAGTAAAAAAAATTTTTTTTAAGAAAACTAAAATTTATAATTAACATTTTTTTAAAACAACGTACCTATAAATAAAATTTATATTCATAATAAAAAATCTTAAAATTTTTATTATTAATTATTTATTAATATTGATTAATTATTAATTAATAATTTTTTTATTAACAATCATTAATTCATTAATTAATTTTTAAAGAATTATTATTAACAATTATAAATTAATTATTATTATTAATAATTAATAATTGTTAATATAATTATTAATTAATTACTGATTAATTATTTAGGTTGTTACATAAAACACACATTACATTGGTTACATTATACAATTTTTTTTTAAATGTTATGTTTTAATTCTTATTGAAAATATTTAAATATTATAATATTATAAAATCATTATATAAAAAAAAATTAAATATTAAAATATATTTAAATTTTTATTATCTGAAAATTGTCGATTTTTAATTTCCCCATCAAGAATACAATGGTCAATTGAAAGTTTAACAATAGTTCATTATTATGAGATAATCGAAAATTCATTACACAAAATATTTGCTTAAATACATGGGACACAAGCTTGAGCCCCCCCCCCCCCCTCTCTCTCTTTCCTTCTTATGATAAAAAAAAGAAAGAAAGTAAAAAATGTAAAATTAATGTAAAAATAATGATAAAGTACAATTATATACGTACAATATTTTCTTTTTCAATAACTTAATACAATGAATCTATTAATAAAAAAAACATTATTTTCTAATTTAACTATTGGTTTATTTAGGTAGAATTAAATAAAAATTAAATGAAAGTAAAGTGAGGCACGCGACAGTTAAAATCGTCCGTGAAAAAGTAAATTGCGAATTATTGATTGATCGTTAAAAAATAGCAAAAATGTCTAGTGCGCTGGGCCTGTCTAGCGGATTGAGTAAGCTCAAAAAGAAACATTTTCGCGTTAATCATCAGAATGTTAAACTTTTTCGTGCAAATGAGCCGCTTCTCAGCGTTTTTATGTGGGGTGTCAATCACACGATAAATGAACTCAGTCATGTCAACATACCAGTGATGCTATTGCCAGATGACTTCAGAGCGTTCAGTAAATTAAAAGTTGATAACCACCTTTTTAATAAGGAAAATATGCCTTCACATTTCAATATAAAAGAATATTGTCCTCTGGTTTTTCGAAATTTACGTGAAAGATTCGGCATCGATGACTTTGATTATAAAGAATCAATGACCACATCTCTAAATTTGAATCAGCTAAAATCCGCTGATTGGCAGCGAATAGTCGCTGATTGAAAAAGCTATAAGTATGCAGCTGCGAATCAGCGACTAACAACTATTTCAATCAGCGGAATACTCCATTTTAAAAATAAATTTATCTTCCGACGAAAATGACCGACGTTCGCCGATTCGTGTTTCGCTATTTTATTAGCTGTATCCGCTGATTTGCAGTGAAAACTTTATTCGCTGATTCAAACAGTGAAATTTTAGCTAATTCAAATTTAGAGAGTATTTTCTAATTTAACTATTCGTTTTTTAGGTAGAATTAAAAAAAAATTAAATTAAAGGTAAAATTTTTTTAATTCTTTTTATAAATTAGCATTTAATAACAAAATTTTTTTAATGCTATTTTTAGAATCCTTATGACTTGAAATGAAGAATTATATATGAATTTTTAAGTTCTAAGCAATGTACAGACAAAAGTCTAATTTTATTAATATAGATTATTATTATTATTATTATTATTATTATTATTATTATTATTATTATTATTATTATTATTATTATTATTATTATGAATTTTATAAATATTATTAGTAACTTTTTATTACAATAATTTTTAATACTAATATAGTGGGATAGTTTAAAAAAAATTAAATATTTAATTAATGTTACAAAATTTTTCTTAATTATTTTTTAGTGTCATTGATTCTTTAAATAATACTTTGGCAAATTATTACATTTAATTATTCTATAATTAAATTTTTTTTATTAATAAAAAAGAAAAAAATTAAAATTAATTTATTTAAAAAAAAAATAAATAAAAGAAAGAAAAAATAAAAAATATTCTTGACAAAATAACATCTAAATTATTTCATTATAGAGAATGAAAAATGTAAATTAAATTTTTATTGCATAAGCAAATACTTTATAGAAAGTTATAAGTTGAAAAAAAAATATTTTAAATCTCAAAATTGATAAAATAAAAAAATAATTAAAGTAAATATGGTAATAATTATACAATCAGTTGTCAAAGTTTGTGACATTTGACATACATTAAAGTGCCGCCAACATTTCAGTTTGGTAAAAGTGGGTATTTCCTATTACAGGTATGTTCATTATCTCTGATATTAAAAATTATTTTTTTTTTTTTAATTTATCGAATTTTAATTTTTTTTCTGCTACTTATTTTTTGTTTTTTTTTTATCAGTTTGGTAAAATTGGGTATTTCCTACTACAGGTATGTTCATTATCTCTGTTATAATTATTTATTTATTTTTTTCTCCTACTTATTTTTTGTTTTTTTTTATTTGGTAAAAAATTATGAAAAATTGTCATTATTTTAAATTTAACGTAAGTCAGAAGCCGAATATTTCTGAAATGCGTTTTTTTTCTGTTCTACTGAACGCTTTCAATTTTTTTGTGCCTCCATTATTTTTAACTACAATTTTCAAATATCAAAGGAAAAATCGAACAAATTTTATATATGTATAATATTACTTTCTATTTGTTAGTAAAAACAGAAAAAAGACCATTTCAAAAAGTATTCGGCTACTGATTTACTTAAATTTAAAAAAAAATCATAATCTCCATAATTTTCATCAAAAAAAAAAAAAAAAATTAAAAAATACATAGTTTCTTATTTTTCATAAAAATTTCGAAAAAAATACCCTAGTAAAAAAAAATTTTTTTTGAATGAAAATCTCTCATATATTTAATAGAATAGTGGAAAGAAAAGATGTGGATCATTTTCCTTTTTCACTGAGAATATGAAGAAGTGAAAGAAAGCAACGAAAGAATATATATTTGCGAGTTTAGTGGCTGTGCAAGATTAATTCAAAGCATGAGGTATTGTATGGCGCAGTGAGCCATAAAAGAACTTGAAACATTTGGTTTTGACGACCTGAGTCGTGACTACCATTACTTATAGGTCTAAACTTAACCATGCCACACAAAGCTTAAAACTGTTGTTTTAAGTCTCTGAGTAGTTAAAAGCAAACAAAGTCTTAAAACTTGTGGATATATATATATATATATATATAAATAAACATATACATATAAGAAGAAAGTAAGACCCAACCTTAGTTCTCGTAAAAGAAGTGATTAAGACGATGCGATGCTGATGCTGAAGTTCTGGTGCAGAAATTTTCTTGAGATTCCTTTGTTACTGTTTCATATCACATGGCAAGTAAGCCGTGAATTGCACAGACAATCTTACGCCATTTCTCAAGACTTCTTTTTACCTTTTCAACATTTTACTATGAAATAACAGATTCTCTATTGTTTATACTATATACATAACAAATGTTTAAATGTGTTTAGTTAGACGAAAATTTTCATTACAGTAATTTCACATTTGCTTTTTATATAATATATTATTTTAAAAAGTGTATTAAATATTCTCTTTCAATTTAATAACTATGAAAATTTTTTACTTTAAGACAAAAATTTCGACTAAATCCGAAGCATTTTGACATTTTTCATCTGACATTTTGAATTTTGAAAAACTAACTTCTGATTCGTAATCAGCGACCCAGAAAACCCCCGAGTAGTGAGTTTCAAGAGAATCCAAACAAGTTTTCAAAAAGAAGTCTGCCATTTTGAATTTTTCAAAACTGACTTCAGATTCGTAATCAGCGACCTTAAAAACCCCAGAGTAATAAGTTTCAGGCGAATTCAATGAATTTTTAAAAAATCGTCCGCCATATTGGATCCGCCATTTTGAATTTTGAAAAACTAACATCGGATTCGTAATCAGCGATCCCGAAAACCCCCGAGTAACCATTTTGAGGCAGATTTAACGATTTTTTTAAACTATTTCTGCCATAATCTGTTCATATCTACGAAAATACAGTGACGTTTCCGCCATTTTGAGTCCACCATCTTGAAATTGAATGTTCTTATGAGCATAGTTTGAAAGTATAACAATTTTATCCACCAATAGGATAGATTAGATGACTTAAAAAGAATGTTTTTGGCTTCAAAAAAAAAATATTAAAAAAAAACAGCAATATTTTTTACATTTTTTCGTATTTTAACCGCCATATTGGATTTCCTCGTGGACCAATCTTTATTTTGACCTCAAAATCTGAAAGAACGATCCCCAATACCTCCTATAGACATTAAAATATTTGGCCTTTTAATGTTTTAACACGTTTCATTGAAGTTGAGGTAAAAAATTTTGAACATTTGGGCGTTAATAGGTTAATATTTATTTGGGAATATATTTTTGAAATTTATTAACATTATATTTTGACAGCAAAATTAAATTACATTCATTAAATTAAAAAGAAATTAAAAAAAAAATATTTTCTAACCTACATAATTTTCTAATGCATGAATTTACAAAAAAAATTCGGTATTTTTAAAATTGCTATACTTATCGACGATTATTATCAATT